CAAGTGAGCAAAATAAAGTGTTTTGGAAAGATTTGCTTGCTAACAGTCTGCTGGACAGATGAGATGGGAGAAGCCTGGAGTCAGGTTGCCGTGGCAACCAGAAGCACAGTTACGCCAGGGACAGGGAGGAGGCCTTGTTCTGTGAAGGGCAGTAGCTGGTTTTACAGCACCACCAAGAACAAGGAGGAACTGGGGTCTCATATTTTCCCGAGATGGTTAAAATGCTCTTGAGTTATCACGGGTTCATTCTGCCTGACAACACTCTCCCTTTCAAAGGACTTTCTATTCTCCCCGGACACAGTTTATCAACCCACAGGGAAATGACTTCACGGGCAGGCGGTGGTTATTCGCCCCTCCCACGTGGTTCCAAGGCTACATTTCTCGCCAGGCCATGAGCACCAGGGGAAGGATTTGCGTGCTGGCACTGGTGACTCTGAAGATAAGCTGGAGAAGCCATTTCAAACCTCCTCTGCTCAAACCCCGGCTTGCTTCGCATCCCCCGGTTGGTCAGAGCTTGATTTAACATTGCAAGTGAATAAAACAACAGCAGCTCGAAGCAGTGCAAACACTAAAGGTTATTGGCTTGTCTGAAATATCCAGTGGTCAGGAGCTGACCTGGCGGGAGGCTGGAGGCCACCGAGGATGCAGTTCTGCAGCTCTGCCTTCTGCCGTGTTTGGGTCAGAAGCAGGCTGCGCCCGGTGGCTGCCTGGCACATGCACAATCTCTCCTCAGGGTGACAGAATGGCTGCTGTGTCTTGGACTGCACATCTTCACACCACCCTCTTTCCCATCACACAGCCAGTGCTCCACAGGGTGTCACGGCTCTGAGTCAGCTAGTTACCCATTCCTGTACTAGTCAGTGTAGCCAAGGGGCAAGGGATAGGCTGGAACTGGGGGTTCCAGAACAGCCAACGCTTATTGAGCTCTTACTATGTGCCATGCCCCATCCTTAGCTAAAGTGTACATGTATTAATCATTTAATACTAATAACAACCCCAGAAATAATAATCCTGTTATTCCCCCGGTGCAGCTGGGAGATCCGAGGTACAGGGAGGTTAACTAGCTTGTCAAGGCCACAGCAAACAAGGGAGGAGGGTTGGTTTCTGAGGGAGGGAGGTGGATGCTGAGCAGCAAGCCACAGACCTCTAACTGCCCACATCACTGAGGGAGAAGAAGCTGCCGGGGCGCTGTCTTCAGCTTCCCCTCACCACCTGCTCCCTCCTCCCTCCTCCGGTGTCACTGGAGGGGCTGCAGGAAATCCTAGGGGTACGCCAGCAGGCTGGACAAACTTGAGTGCACGTTGATCCGTCTGGGGGCTGGTTAAAACCCCATCACTGGCCCCACCCCCCAGAGTTTCTGATTCAGGGTCAGGGGTGGAAAGAATCTGCATTTCTGATGAGTTCCCAGGTGATGCTGCTGGACTGGAGATCCCACACTGAGAACGCTGCTCTGGACAGTGCTGCTCGAAGGCTGGTCTGTGGAACCCCTCAGGAATGCAGGTTCTCAGGCTCCACCCAGACCTGCTGAGCCAGAGACTGGAGGTGGGCTTCGGAGTCTGTGTTTGAACAAGCCTCCAGGTGATGCTGATCTCATCACACTGGCCTGAAGCTCTCCAGTGACTCCTTGTGGACTGCCTGGGATGACAAAGTCTCGCTTGATCTGACCCTGGTCGGACTGTCTGCTCCCTTTTCTGAAACATGGTGGGTGCTTTCATCCCCCACCCCCCCATCCCACTGCCCAAAATAAAGTCATCAAAATAACCAAATTTGCCAAAACTGTCAGGCAAAGAGTTTAAATTAGGCTGTTGGCCGTTTCACTGCAAACTTGGCACAAGTTGCTGTTGGGTTGTTCCTCTTCTTCATATTTTTGTCTTAGGCCTTCCAGAGTTCAAGTTTCAGGCACTGTGTGGAACTTTTAAAACAACAGAGAAGGACATCCCCCCCGCCCCTTAATCTGGCGCACTGCCTTAGTTCCTAGGCCTGTGGCGGGCTTTATCCAGTGAAGACTTGTGCATTGACCTTCAGACGCTGTCCACGGCGAGGGTGGTTGTGCTGTGTTTGTGAAAGGATCAGCATGTCCATTACACCTGCAGTTTTACCTGGATTTGCAGCTACTCTGTTTCTGTGGTTTTGGTTTGTCAGTTACTCAAAGTTTCGGCAGAGTGCTCTCTATTTATGTCTGTGATTAGTCCCCCCCCCCTTTTTTTTTTTTTTACAATAGATGCGAGTTTTGCTACCACATGGTGTGTGCATCTTTTTCTTCCACCTCTCCTTGTTCTTCCTTGTAGAAGTAGTTGGACCTGGTATGGAACGGCTTCCCGAGCAGCTGGAGTGGAGGCTGTGTGTGTTCCTCCTTGGGAATGGGCCTTTCCTTGTAGCTGTTGTGTGTCCTGGGGAAGGCAACAGCCCTCACGCACCTGCATCCCTTAGAAAAAGAAACCAAACCGAACCCGTTGCTGTCGAGTCGACTCCGACTCGTAGCGGCCCTATAGACAGAGTAGAACTGCCCCATAGGGTTTCCAAGAAGTGACTGGTGGTTAACAGTCAAGCTCTGTGCCACCAGGGCTCCTAAAACCAAATCCATCGAGCCAATTCCGACTCATAGTGACCCTGTAAGACAGTGTCCCTGGGTGGCATAAATGGTTAAGTGCTGACTACTATCCAAACAGTTGGCAGTTCGAACCCACCCAGAGGCGGCTTCAAAGAAAGGCCTGGTGATCTACTTCCTAAACACCAGCCATTGAAAATCTTAGGGAGCACAGTTCGACTCCACGGCACCTGGAACGGAAGTGTATGTTTGGCCAAATCTGCTTGATTCCTGACATTATTGTGTTCATCTTTCCTTCTTGATCAATGTTAGTAGGAATTTTTAAAAATATAGTATTTGGAGATGAAGTTCGCATCACGTAAAATGAAGCATTTTAGAGGGGACGGCTCAGCAGCACCAGCACACCCACAGTGTGCAGACAGCACACCACCTAGTTTAGGTAGAGATTTGTTCCTTTCGGTTTTCCTAAGAACCAGATTTGGTTTTATTGCTCACCCTGTGTTGATTTTTGTTGGGTCATTTCCTGTTTCAGCAATTTCTATTCTCAATTTTATTTTGCCTTCTTTCTGCTGTCCTTGTGTTTACTCCATAATTAGTTTTCTGTCTTCTCAAATTAATTAATCAACTTCTCTATAGACAGTCCTTTTGGTTTTGGAAAAATGTGTTTAAGGCTGTAACTTCCTAAGCGTGTTTAATGGTGTCTTCAGCTTGGGATTTGTAGTGTATCCCATATTGTTCCATTTTAAATGTTTTGTAACCTGCGTTGCTATTTCATGTGTAACACAGGAGTTATTTAGTTTTTAAACTAGTTCTTAACAAATATTTTTATTAGTTTCTTAATTCCATTATATTATGGTCTGATTAAGTGTTCTGTGTAGTACTGACCCTTTGAAACTTATTAAGACTCTTTTTGAAGAGAGTTTTTGAAACTGTTTCATAGATTTAAAAAAAAATTATTTTTGTTGCGGAGAATATACACAGCAGAACATACACCGATTCAACAGTTTCTGCATGTACAGTTCAGTGACAGTGATTACATTCTTCCAGTTGTGCAACAGTCTCACCCTCCTTTTCTGGGTTGTTCCTCCCCCGTTCACATAAACTCACTGCCCCCCAAGTTTCCTATCTAATCTTTCCAGTTGCTGTTGTCAGTTGTTTCAAAGATTGGTGAAAACAATGTCTGTTTCTGTCTTTGTTGAGCTTAGGGTACTGTGCATTTTTTCCTGCTTGAGTTAATGCTTTGTCTTTGATCCGGGTGCCAGAAAGCAGTGGGAAGACCTTGATGGAGGTCCCACGAGGAGATTTTGGTAATAGAAGCATCTCAGATGCCTTTTTCCTTTATGCAGGTTCACAATCCTGAGAGCAGCAGATAAAGGAAATCAGATTACAATTCATGGGAAGCCTTTGCAGCCTGGCTCTCGTAAATGGGAAAGGGAATTTTCACTCAGCTGTCCTGTCTTGTGGGAAGTAATCTCTGTGAAGGTTACAGAGAGAATTGCACAAGGAAGAAAGCAAATGAACCTTTTCCTAAATGAATACAAGTAAATTTGTAAAAAAAAAAAAAAAAAGGCTACTCATGGGGTTACAGATGACAGCAAATGTAATTACAAATGTTTCATCCATAGTAATGTTAATTGGAGCATCACTGAATTTGTAGAATGGAAAGCTTAATAAGGCTTTGGGTTCATTTATAACTCATGGGATTCCAGCTTTTACCGTTATATGAGGCTAAGTTATTTTAGCCTCTCGATATGTAGAAAAGGATATAAATTAGTGTGTCTACTTGTGGGTTTAGAACTGCACTGTCCAGTATGGTAGTCACTGGCCACATGTGGCTACTAAAATTAAAATTAATATTAACCAAAGTTAAAAATTCAGTTCCTCAGTCACACTAGTCACACTCCACATGCTCAGTAGCCGTGTGCGGCTGTGGCTACTGTATTGACAAGCACAGATACAGAACTTTCCCATCATTGCATAGTTTTCTTGGACAACCCTGACTTAGAAACCATGTAGCAACAAGAAGCAAAGAGACACAAAAGGAATCCACTAGCAACTTAGGGGAGTACCTGGGTGGTACAAATGGTTAACACGCTTGGCTGCTAACTGAAAGGTTGGCAGTTCGAGTCCATCCACAGGTGCCTCTAAAGAAAGGCCTGGTGATCTACTTCTGAAAAATCAGCCATTGAAAGCCCTATGGAGCACAGTTCTCCTCTGACACACATGGGGTCGCCATGAGTTGGAATCAGCTTGACAACACTGGTCGTGCTGGTGGTAGCAACATAGGAGGGAGAGCTGGCAGTGGGCTGTGTTTAAAGGCTTTGCGGTGGTTTCATTGTAGGTTGGTTGTGTCACCAGGACAAGTGAGAATCCCTTCTGTTGGTGTGTGTGTGGTGTTGACCCACCCCTGTCTGAAGTATTAACCCTTTGGTATTCTCTCTCTCTTCCCCAGTGAACTGAAGAAGAGGTATAACATCACAGCCATCCCCAAGCTCGTGATTGTGAAGCAAAGTGGAGAGGTCATCACTGACAAAGGACGGAAGCAGATCCGGGAGCATGGGCTCCCCTGCTTCCGAAACTGGGTCGAAGTGGCTGACATCTTTCAGAATTTCTCTGGTTGAATTTGGCGGGATCTCAGAGGACCAGGGCCGGCACTTGTCACACCATTTCTACAGTCAAACACGCAGGAGAACGAGAAGATTGTGCTTAGTTTCCTTTCTCTAGTGGTACTATTTTATTGAATTTCAGATTATAAGCACTTAACTGTGGCAGAAAGTAAATGGTGCTCAGGGCAAACACCCTCCCGCTTTGTGCAGGATATTAGTTTTTCCATATGAGTGAAAGGAGAGACCCTGGTCTGTTCACATGGAGCTATTGAAAATCTATGCAAAACATTTATTTGTACAGGTTTTTTCAGGTAAAATAATATATGATACATTTTTCTGGTGATAAACTTATTTTAATAATATACTTTTACAACTCTATTTCTTAATAAAGTGTGTAGAGTCTATATGCTTTAATAAACAAACCTATTTCTATGTCGTGCAGCCCTGATTTCCTTCTTTCTCAGTCTCAACTGAGTGCCAGTTGTAGGAAAATGAATCACTAGATAAATACCATGGTTAAACAGCTTTTTTAATTTTTTATTTCTCAATAGTGGTAGTTTTTAATTATGTATCTTTTTGGATTTTTCTTGTCTTTGCTTTCATTCCTCACACTTATTTTTAATAGCATCCTAAGATTCTAGAAAGAAATGAAATTTTCAAGGCTATGTATCCATGTCTTCAAGATCCAATCTAAAATTTCCTGAAAGATGATAATTGGTTGAAATAAACAAGAGCCCATACATAGTCTTTGCTAATCATAAGAGGTAGGATTGTCAGAGGTTTCGGTTACCAAGCTTCCCTGGGCATTCTTTTTTTTTTTTTTGTAGAATAATATTCATAGCAGCCTTATTAATAGCCTAAAACTGGAAATAGCCCAGGTGTCCATCAAAAGGAGTCCAGACAAACGGTGGCGATCCAGACAATGGAATACTACACAGCAACGAAAAAGAATAAGCAATTTTATATACAACATGAAAAATTCTCAAAAACATCATGATAAGTGAAAGAAGAATATATTACTACATTGTATGAAGTTCTAGAACGTGCAAAACTAACCTATGGTAAAAACAACACCCAGAACATCAATTACCTCTGGGGATTCCCTGTCCGTTCTTACTGGTTCTCCTGCCACATGGACACCATTCTCCACGTGTGCTCTTGCCCAACATCATTTGAAGGTTAGATTTGTGAAAACACTGGACACCCACAATTCCCATATGCAGACACTGTAGGCTTGTTCTGAGTCCCTCAGTTGGGTATTTGGAGAAAAGCTGTAAGCGCTAGGATGCGGGAGTCCCAGCTCTGCACACATGAGGCCCTGGAACAGGGTGCCTTTCAGGAGTGATGGCGTCCATTGGGCAGCCTCAGTAAACCCTTGACGCAATGTGCTGAGTAGGTGTGTTGAGACATACGTTGAGTATATGTTGGCTTCATTAGGGACTGAAGGACTGGGAAATCACATTTACCTTCCCCACCTCCTACTTGATCAGCTAACTTCTTCCACTGGTAATTAAAGCCCAGCAACATTGGGGTACTATTGGGTGACTAAAGACGTATTTGGTTAGGCCTGGTGATCTACTTCTGAAAAATCAGCCATTGAAAGCCCTATGGAGCACAGTTCTCCTCTGACACACATGGGGTCGCCATGAGTTGGAATCAGCTTGACAACACTGGTCGTGCTGGTGGTAGCAACGTAGGAGGGAGAGCTGGCAGTGGGCTGTGTTTAAAGGCTTTGCGGTGGTTTCATTGTAGGTTGGTTGTGTGAATGGAGGGAAGTGTCATGGGTGGAGGCCACCCCACAGTGTACTGACCCTGCAGGGCGAAAGCTCAGTGCCCAGGCTTCATGAGCTGAGGTTGGTCAGCTATGGGTTGTTTAAAACATTATTATCACCTGAAGGTGTTATCTTTAGCATCGTAACATCCCTAACAATTTACTTAGTGTCAGACAGAGTAAATCTAGTCTTCTATCAGAGAGCTGTATCATTTGTTGCTATTTATACAAGTGCCTTCTACCACTTGTATTACAAAAGCAAAACATGATCATTGTGGTAAAATACAGAGAAACAAGAGGGAAAAAACCCTGTCATCTGGAGGTAAAACCACTGTCAATGTACTGTATTTTTACACAAACAATGCTTGTCTTTTATGTTTTTCGCCCACCATGCCCGCCTCATCCTCTCTCCCGCCCCACCGTGAGGTATTTTCGTAAGCACACTATGCTAATTTTTTTTTTTTACAGCAACATGTTGAATTCCTCTGTCTTGTATACTATTTCTTTTTCTTGGTTGACTCCCTTGTTTTGTTGGAATACATCCTCTAATAGTTTTCTGAGAAGTGATGTATGAGAGGTAAAACTTTTTGAGATCTCACATATCTGAAATGCCTTTTCTACATCATAAACCAAAACAAACCAGTTGCCATCAAGTCAGTTCTGACTCATGGTGGCCCTGTGTTGCAGAGTAGAACTGCTCCACAGGATTTTCAATGGCTGTCACCTTTTGGAAGTAGATTGCCAGACCTTTCTTATGAGGCACCTATGGTTGGATATGAACCATTAACCTTTCTGTTAGTAGCCGAGTGCTTAAATGTTTGGCCACCCAGGGACTTTTTCTTTTAAATAATATTTTATTGTGTTTTTGGTGAAATTTTACACAGCAAATTAGGTTCCCAATTAAAAATTTCTACACAGATTGTTCAGTGACATTAGTTACATTTTTCACAATGTGCCAACATTCTCATTAATTTTCTTCTGGTTGTTCCATTTCCAGTAATCTAGTTTCCCTGCTCCCTTACCTTCTCATCTTTGCTTTAGAGTAATTGTCAACCATTTGACCTCATATAAACGATTTTTTAAAGGAATGCAGTACTCATGGGTGATATTCTTTATTTTATGAGCCAATGTTATTTAGCTCAAGGGTGACCTCGGGATAGTTTTGGTTCAAGGTTTAAAAGGTATTCAGGGGGACAGTCTCAGGGAGTCCTCTCGTCTCGACTGGTCCAGTAAGTCTGAACTTTTTAAGAATATGAGCTCTGTTCCACGTTTTTCTCCTATCGGGATCCATCTTTTGTGGCCCTGATCAGTATGATCATTAGTGGTAGCAGGGTACTATCTAGTTCTTCTGGTCTCATGGTAGATGAGGCCATGGTTCGTGTAGACAGTCCTTGTCATAGTTATCTAGTGCTGCTGTAACAGAAATGCTACAAGTGGATGGCTTTAACAAATAGAAATTTATTCTCTCAGTCTAGGAGGATAGAAGTCTGAATTTCAGCATGCCTGCTCCAGGGAGAGGCTTTGTCTCTCTGTCAGCTCTGGGGGACAGTCCTTGTCATCAGTCTTCTCTGGTCTAGGAGCTTCTCCATGCAGAAACCCTAAGTCCAAAGGATGCACTCTGCTCCTGGATCTTCTTGCATAGTGGTAATGAGGTCCCCTCCCCTCTCTGCTCAATTCTGTCTTTTATATCTCAAAAGAGATTGACTCAAGATGCAACCTAATCCTATAGATTGAGTGCTGCCTGCTCAACATAACTGACTCTAATCCTGCCTCATTAACATCATAGAGGTTAGGATTTATAACACATAGGCTAATCACATCACATGTCAAAATGGTAGACAATGACACAATACTGGGAATCATGGTCTAGCCATTAACGCATATTTTTGGGGGACACAATTCAATCCATAACAGTCCTGTAGACTAGTTTCTTCTCTAAGTCTTTGGTTTCTTTCTCTTTCGCTCCAGATGAGTAGAGGCTAATAGTTGTAACTTAGATGGCTGCTAAAAAGCTTTTAAGATCCCAGACACTAGTCACCAAACTAGGATGTAGAAGATAAACTTTATGAACTATGTTATGCCAATTGACCGAGTTGCTCCGATTTCAAGAAAACCAATCTGAAAGTGTTTGGTTATGTCTATAAAGTATCTGTAACTGTGCCCCCTGTGTGGTTTATTATATATATGAATACATATGCATGCACACACAGACATGTATATACACATACATATAAATACATGTATCTGTGCACACATATATACACACATAAATACCCATACACTTATATTCATTTATATATACGTATCTAATCGTATACACATCTTTTGGTTGTTACTGGTGTTGTTGCAAAATTATGTTTGTCATATCCTTTACCAAAAATATCTTTTTCTCTTGTGTACTTCTTAGTGACATCACTTACCTTGGTCCAGCTGTGCACACTTCTCCCACATTTGGTGTTTCCTTTCCCATCACCAAAAATAACAAGTGTCTACTATCTTGGGAGTGAGTCCCCCTTCCCCCCCATCCCTGGTAACCACCAATGAATGTTGGGCTCTGTATGTACACTACCCAGGGAATTCTACATCATACTTAATGGATACTTGGTGTTATGGGTTAAATTGTGTCCCCCAAAAATGTGTGTCAACTTGACTAAGCCATGATCCCCAGTACTGTGTGGTTGTCCACCATTTTGTCATCTGATATGATTTTCCTACGTGTCATAAATCCTACCTCTATGATGTTAATGAGGCAGGATTAGAGTCAGTTATGTTAATGAGGCAGGACTCAATCTACAAGACTAGATTGTATTTTGAGTCGATCTCTTTTGAGGTATAAAAGAGAGAAGTGAGCAGAGAGACAGGGGACCTCACACCACCAAGAAAATAGTGCCAGGAGCAAAGTGCCTCCTTTGGACCCTGATTCCCTGCACCAGAAGCTCCTAGACCAGTGTAAGACTGATGACAAGGACCTTTCCCCAGAGCCAACAGACAGAGAAAACCTTCCCCTGGAGCTGGCATCCTGACTTTGGACATCTAGCCTCCTGGACTGTGAGAGAATAAATTTCTCTTTGTTAAAGCCATCCTTTTGTGGTGTTTCTGTTATAGCAACACTAGATAATTAAGACACTTGGCTAGGTATAGAATTCTAGGTTGGAAGTATTTTTTTCTTCAGTAATTTGAAGGCATTGCTCCATAGTTATCTTGTTTCTTTGTTACAGTTGAGACATCTGACTCCAGTGTGATCCAAGGATCTTTTGTATGTGGCCTGTTTCTTCTCTCCCAAAACTCCTTAGATCTTCCCTTTGCCTTGTGTTTCTGCACGTTCAAGATGATATGCCCTCATGAGCCTCTCTTTTCACCCCTAGTGTCCGGCCCTTGTGACCCTTTCAACCTGGAAACATGACTTTCACTCCTGGGAAATGTTCAGAATTATTTTGTTTATTTTCTTTCTTCTGTTTTCTTTTTCTGCAGTTCCTAGTATTTGGATGTTAGAATTCCTAGACTAGATTGGTCCTCCAGTTTTCTTATATTTTTCTGTTCTATTTTCCATTTTGTTTTGTTTTGGGGGAGATTGCCTCAAATTTATCTTCTAGCCCTTTTATCTGCTATCATGATTTTATTATAAGAGAGTTCTTTGTTTTCTGTTTTTTTTTCTCTTTCTCCTTCTTTCTTCATGGTCCCCGTTTCCTCCCTCCCCCCCACCCTTTCCTCTTTTCTCTTAGCATTCTGTTATAGTTCCAGAAAAGCAACATCTTCTCATTTTTTTTTTTTTAAAAAAAAAAGCCTTCTTCCCATCTCTGCTTCTTTGACATCTGGAGCCACGGTTCCCAG